ATCTACAATTTAAAGTTCAAGAATATTCTGAGGCAGCAACACTTGAAGAATCTTTTTAACAATACCATATCTAGAAGTTTAACCTTTTTTTTGCATTCGTATTGTTTGTCTTAAACCAATTCACAAAGTTCAAGAATATTCTGCGGCAACACTATTGGATTTTCGGTTATGAGCACAGCCATTTGATATTATTAAATGGAAACATCAATCATGTTTGGTTCCTGTGTAGATTAGCCAATCTCTCGATCTTATGGCTTTAATTTATGTTTGCTTTGTGGCAATCGAATGTCCGAGACTAGATCAATCGATTAGGACTCGGAACGGTCACGCCTGCTGGACAGGGGGAGATCCAATCTCCGTGACAGATTGCATCACAAATCTGGTCCTTTCTAAAAGCCAGGTCGTGTGGATTACTCATGCCCTGGGCCATTATATAAGTGACTGCGAATATGAGCGGCAATTGTATCAAATGCACGCACTGCGACGCATGTGGCGTATACGCAATATTTCAACGTTTGGAATTACAGCGACGCTCAGAAATGCGCAATTGCCCAAGCGTGCTGCCGGCCACGCCCACCTCCGCCCCCAGGTGTACTTAGTGGCTTTCGATTTTTGGCCACCTTTGATGGGGTGTGTTTTCGGGGCGCAATTAATAAATTGCCAACGAATTGATTTCTTTCACTTTTTTTTCTGCCTCGGCTCGATTTGGATTTCGCCCGTCATCGAAGCGGACAAACAGAAAAACACACCCACTTAAGACAGCCCCGAGTGAAGGTCACCGATTTGTGATTTGTGAAAATTACCACTGCATAAAAAAACCTAAAAAGAGAAAAACGGTGGAACATAAAACCCATTGCCAAGCAATTATGGTGGCACATTATCCCAGATGCCCGAAATCAGGCAAACGTTAAATTCCAGCACATTAAAAAACCGCCCCAACTGCACGCACATTAACAGTGCTTAATTTGTTACACAAAGTATAAAATAAATGTGGCAAAAAGTGAAAAAAAAACGAATTTAATGCCATGCAATGTGGTTTATTTTTTGGGCTTTCATGTTTCACACAGTTTAATGGCATCGGGAGTTGTGTTAACGAGCCAGTGTTTAATTAGGCACTCGAATAAAGTACAGCAAGTGAAAACAAAAGACTTAGGCAACGAACTCGAACCGATTACATGCTAAGGAGCCGCGAAATGGAAATGCGAATGGAAATTGAAATGGATGGAAAACAGCGGGCAGCCGAAGCGATTGTGGCGCTAAGTGGACCAGGCCGAGCTCTTAATTCTCTGCCTACTCCCCAAGGAAAATGCCCAGCGAGTTATACTTCTTGTATAACAGCAGACACTTATCAAAATGCAGGTGCAACCATGGTTGCCAAATGTCGTAATCCTAGACCGGCGCTTATGTCACCCCAAAAATGCCCGCCTAACATGACGCACACCCAACATTTAAGGAAATCAAAAGCAAATATAGTCCGAGTTCCATACGCAAGAAAAACCCGGTGGCCAACACACACACACGGCAAAAAACCAACTAACTTCAACTGACTCGAATGTATAACGAAACCGACGGCTTCGCCTGTCTTGTGGTTTCCAGAAGTGGCTGAGCCAAGGGGAACGGGTCTAGGGGATTGGGGATCGGGGCCGACGAAAAGCATCAACATCAACGCATCGCCTCCACTGCTATGTGCTATATGCTCTATGGTATATGCTCTATGCTATATGCATGATGTAACCGCAGTGCGATAACGTCTGCATCTGGACCAAAAGCAGAGACAGATCCCGAGACATGCAACCAATTCCCCATTTATGGCAGACAGACTGGCTATTGCGACTGCGAAAGTGGTGCGCAAGTGGAGCACTCCAGACCAGGAATGTGCCTAGCTATTTGCATGACTCGCAGGTGGGATGGGAATGGGAACGGGCATGGGGGATGAAGATGATGATGGAGCTGGAGTGGGATTCCTGGGGGCAGATTCCCCCGGATTCCCATGCAGGTTGCGCAAAAGGTTCGCTGACAGTGACAATGCAACAGGCAACAGTGGCACTCTTTTAGCCAGCTCTTAAAGTTCAAAGGTGCAACTAGCAACTTGCAACTTGCAACTTGCAACTTGCAGCTGCCAAGCGACAGGCTGACAAATTGCCAGCTGGAAAATTCGATACTTGCATAAGACGCTCTCCAGATTTATTGGCCTGGGCCAAATCAACGGAATGGCATCCAATCCGCTGGGTATTTAGCCGGGTTCAAAGTCACTCCCAGCCGGACACTCGGATTGGCGTGAAAAGTAAAAGTCCAGTGGTCCGACTTTTGCTTTTATTACCACCGTTCCAAGCATATTTCACCTTGCCCAACTATTTGCGACTCACTCTTACTCGGGCTTTGACGTTATGGCCCCAATTAGATGCAGGCACGTAACATTGGTTAATTGGACTGGCCAGCGATTCCGGGCCAGGAATGCCCCCTCCCCCCCTCGACGGGGGTAGCAATGTATTATGCGTATGAACAGCAGTTGACATTCAGCCAAGTCGAGTCAGCGATCGGGTCTCGGGTAAATGGCGTTCAAATTGAACCCGCCGCAGGCTGAGCATCTTCATCATGCCGACTGCTGGTGGGGTATATGAGCTATGGGATCAGGGTCCCGAAGCAGGGGGTAGAAACTGGGACAAGGAACCTTTATGGCTATAGTAAAGGTGCCATATCTAATGGCATACATCTACATTATTCTAATAGGTTAGTAAACATTTAGAAAATTCGTTTACCATATAAATCGAACAGACTTACAAATAGTTTAGAGGATTACTGGGTACTTGTTGTATTACCTTGAAAATGATTAATATTTTGAATCTCTTTACCTAATAATCAAGTATATTTGTAAAAGATAGTCTAGTTTCTTAATAAGCTTTTGTTTTCAAAAGTTTTATATACTCAAGACTTAGTGTCATTAAAGATTTATAATCGAAATTAGTTTGATCAATTGAAAATCGAACTTTTTTTTTCGCCATTAAGGCCAAGTTTTGTGATACCTCACTGTGATCAAGTGTTTGACCTGGACATGGCTTCCCCAAAACGTTTAAATCTTTTGATTTTGGCTTGTGGTTACTTAGGGTAACAAGCGTATGCCATGATCAGTGATTCCCAGAGCCCAGCTTTCCTTGCCTTCCCAGCCGCAGTTGCATCTCCATGCAGCGAACTCCGTGGCCCGTTTCGATCTTGGGGGACTTGGCTTGCCGTGTTGCCTTATAACAAGTTTTCTGGCCTGGCTGGTCTGGTCTGGTCTCTTGCATAACTGGTCGCTGGGCTGCCGATGACGATCCGATGATGCTGCCTTCTTTGGCTGCAATTTGGCGGCATCTTCGCGAAAAGGTTCGCAGAAATATTTTCCCGCGTTTTTTTGGTTGATTGTCTTGTTGCCTCAGAGTTTCCCATATCATAAAGCAGGCTGACTCATCAATTGATGGCCATTGCTTCCATTGCAGCATCCCGTCAGCCGTTCTTCTAGTCCTGGCTGTGGCCACCGGCCTGTGGGCCAGCTGCGCGGAGGCAGCAGCCACCGGAGCACCCTCGGCCACGGCCACCACAGCCAAGCCGAAGGGATTCGAGGCACGATCCCTGGACGTCAGCTCCAGCGGAGGCGAGGAGGAACTGGACGACTTCGAAACCCAGGCCCAGACACATTTGGCCTATCGCCAACAGCCGCAGCAGCAGCGCCAGCTGTATGAGTACAGCGAGGAGGATCAGGAGGAGCCTCCGCGCCAGGTGTACGCCAACCGAAATGCCAAGCAGCAGAGCAACTACCTCAAGATCCAGGGACAACTAAAGAAGCCCCTCAGCGAGGAGAGCGAGGAGGAGGAGGAAGAAGTGGAGGAGCCCGATCGTCTGTCCACTCTGCTCGCAAAGTCCTCCTTCAGCTGCACGGACAGGAACTCCGGGTGGGTACACTTCTGAAAGTAATGAATTACAATTTCTTAACATTAAATTCAAATTCAGATACTATGCCGACGAATCGCTGAGCTGTGAGGTGTTCCACTACTGCCAGGAGAGCCAGAAGCACTCATGGATCTGCCCCGAGGGCTTCACCTTCCACCAGATCCACCTGATCTGCATGCCGCCCTCGCACGACAACATCTGCAAGCAGTCCTCCAAGTACCACATAGTGAACGACTACCTTTACAAGCCGATCAACCTCCAGGAGCACCAGAGCAAGCCCAATGTGACACTGCGCTATTCGGAGCGTTACTTCCCGGAGAACTACTACGAACACGAGCGCTACGATGACGAGGAGGAGGAGCTGCCCGCCGCGCCAAGGCCACGCATCCAGCATCAGCCGCAGCAGCAGCAGCAACACCACCAGCAGCAACAACATCACCAGCAGCAACAGCAGCAGCCCCAGCAGCAGCATCGCCAGGTGGTGGCCTACCAGCAGCCGCAGCAGCAGCCCCAAGTGAGGGTACAGTACCAGCAACAACCGCAGCAGCACCACCAACAGGCTCAGCCGCAACCACAAGTGGTGCAGCAGATCCGCCACCAGCCGCAACCTCAGCCGACTACCCTGGCCTACCGGAAGCCACTGCCCGTGACCACAGTCCAGCCCCAGTTGCAGTTGCATCAGCTGCACCAGCCCCAATTGCAGTTGCACCAGCAAAGGCCACAGACGCTGGCGCCGACCGTGACGCCGGCGCCGTACCGCTTTTACACCGCTGCCCCCCAGCTGCAGCACTTGCAGCAGCAGCAGCAGCAGGTCTTCCGCACGCCCGAGGAGATCAACATATCGCTGCAGCAGCGCCGGCCGCAGGTGTTCATTGCCACAACGCCGAGGTATTATGAGGATGAGTACCTCTACGAGCGGAGGAAGTGAGGAGGATGGCAAAGGAGTGAGCAGAAAACAGTCTTGTCGTTCCCTCGGATCCAATATCCACCTCTCGTGTACATTCCCCTTCTCTAAGTAGCTTTAAGCTCTCGCCCCCGCAGCTGTCTGTCTGGCCCGAAAATCCTTGCGCGAGTTTTGTGTACCTATTTGTAATATTTAATGTCCTGCTAGAAGAATCCGCCTTCTAACTCAATTCGTTAATAAATGAAGCCACATTAAGTTAGCCGCTCACTGTATGTCTATCTCCATGAACTGATCCGCGTTGGACAGATGCGCCGCCTGACTGTGTGTGCCCTCCTCCACCACGTAGTTGGGACCAATGATGCAGTTCTTCAACACGGATCCGCTCTTCACCTGAGCCCGATGGCCGATGATGCAGTTGTCGATGTTGCAGCCCTCCTCCACAATGGCGTTGGACATGATGAGCGAGTTCGCCACAATGTTCTTGGGGTTGATAACGCAATTCGGTCCGAAAACGCTAAAGTTCAGAGAGGTCTTCTCGGACAACTTGGCATTGTCGGCCGCTATAATCTCCTTTGTTTGGGTAGACTTCACCAGGGCTCCTGGGGAGATAAGTGGATGCTTTTCGCCGCACAGTTCGTTCCAGATGCTGGCCAACTTGCGATTGATGGCCAAGAAGCTCAGGGTGTTGTTGACCCGCACTCCGATTGCTTCCTTGGGAGCCTGGATGCCATAACAGCGCACTACGTCGCCATGATAGGGATTTTGGGATAGAGATTGATTGAACAGAGAGGTCTGCGTGATCTTTTGGTCCAAGATAGAATGGGGCACGTACTAAAATGGGGAGAAAGTGTGGAAGTTAATATATTTTGATTTTTGTCTACAAAGAGGTTAAGATATACTTACATGCAGAACATTATCCTCATTCTTGGTGATCACGCCCACTTCGGAGGTGGTATCCTGGACTACTTTGAGCGGTCGCTTGGAGTGCTGCTTCTTGATCAAGTGCGGCAGGAACTCGCCCTTAAAAGTGGATATGTTCTCCTTCTGCAAAGGACCAATATTAGAGGGATATTTATCTGAAAGTAACAGCTTTACTTACCCTACGTAGGTAATCGATGACCCACTTTTTCAGCACATAGACATGGGCATCCACTAGGCGGCTGTAGACATCCAATCGTCCTCGGTTCTGCAGCAGATGCCGCTGGATATTGAGGGTTTCCTCGCAGTCACTGGCAGCGGACAGGAAGGCCAACCTCTGGGTGGCGGCATGGATTCCAATCACATCCCGTTCCGGCTTGTGCTTACTCTTGGGACCCGGCATTACCACATCCGACTCGAACCCGCTGGGGAAGAGGAGTAGCGCCAGGGCGGCATCGTGCTCCCGGAACTTGTTGATCAGCGGGTACAGGTTGACATTGCTGACCAGGTCGCAGCTGAGCACCAGGAAATCCGACTTGATCTTGTCGTAAATGTAGCGCAGACTGTCCGCAGTTCCGAAGTCACTGTCGCTGGGAATCGTGGCATAGTCGAGTTTCAGCTTTAGGGGAGTGTTCTCCAGAGCCGACTGGATCTCCAGCCTCTCCTGCTCCAGGACCACCACAATGACCTCTGCGGGGAAAAGAAAAGTCCACCATTTAAAACCATTATTTCACATATAGCCATCGGAATTACCTGAAAAGTTGTGTTGTTGCAGCAGATTCAGGGGATACCAGATGAGGGGATATGGGCCCACGGGCAGCAGGCACTTGGGGGCATCCCCCAAGACTTCGGGCAAGCGGGTGCCACGCCCCGCGGCAAAGACCACCGCCTGAAACTCTGAATTCGTCATTCTCAAGAGATTTAACTTAATAAAGTTCGGCTAAAAAGCGTGCAGAGCAAATACAAAAAAAGCCACGCGAACAGCTGATTGGAATGCAAGAGGCCACTAGCGCATTTTCCAACACTGTTTCCAATCAGACATATGTTTGCTGTCATGTGACCGCGTCATTGTTTTTGTTGCTTTTGCTGTTGTATAAAACAAGTCAGATGACCCTTTTTGCAATGAAAACTCCCTTTTTCGCTTTCCTCACAGGATTACACAGATTTCGTATGAAACAACAAGACTTTAATGCATGGATGGCGCAGCTTACACTACACTACAAAAATGGAATACATACTTTTCTGCTTATTGGAATAGTCTACACACTTTTGCTAAGATTTTTGTGGCTTGCCCTCTGCGAATTATTACAATTACGTACAGTATATGGGAACGGTTACAGAACGGAAACAGAAAAATAGTTTAACAATAATATTGCTGGAATATCTACACATCCGCGGTAATACTACTTAGAACAGCACGTCATCGTCGCCCTCATCCAGGATATTGGCCTGCTGGCGCACATCGATGCCCTGCTGCAGGAGCTCCGCCTTCTTGGCATCGGCCTTGATCCTAGCCTCGCGCTTCTTGTCCTGGATCTTCTTCAGTCGGTAGAACTCCTCACGCTCCAGCTCATCCAGTTCGGAGATAATATAGGCCAGTGTCCTGTCGATACGGGGGATGATCACGTGCTCGATGGCGTTCACACGACGGTTGGTGATCTTGATCACCTCGTCCAGGGTGACGAACGATGTCTGCAGCGAGGCCAGCTCCACGAGCAGCTTGACGGCGCTCTGGTAGTTCTTCTTCAGCTTGGCCAGCTGCTGGCCACCACGGGCCAAACCGGCCAGCTCGTAGGTATCGGCTCCGTCAGTGTAGGACTCGAAAACGGGCAGGGTCACGCCAGCCACGTTGTCCTTCTTGGTGCGGATCTTGATCTGGGCCTTGGTCACGTTCTGCAGCACCACCTGGTTGATGTCGCCCGACGTAAACTTGGCCTCGGCCAGCGAGAAGGCCGCCTCTTTCATAACATCGCCCATCAGGGTCTTGGTCTCGATGATCTTGCCCAGAATCATGCGGAATCGCATCTGCAGGGCATCCGCCTTCTTCTTCAGCAGGCCGTGACCCTTTTGGGCTCCAGCCAGACGGGCCTTCATCAACATCTGGGCACCACGGGACGGGAAAATCGGTAGCCTATCTTTTCCGGACATTTTGTTGCTTTTTTCGGGCGTTTATTGGCTGGATATTAAGATATTTTCAACTGCGTATCGAGAAAATTGCAACCGTCGCAGAACACTGAAAATCTCCAACTGGAAAATGACGGACGGCAGTGTTGGTTAGGGCCATGGGGCAATCGATAACGGAGAGTGCTTGAAAGTGCGATAAAGACAGTGTTGGTAAACACACAGTCACAGCTGATTTTGCATTTGAAAGTAAATAATATTTTCTTAGGATTAGATTGCATTTTTAGAATGCTGCTGCAACGTGTGTGGTTGCCACAATTAAACAACCACCTGCGGCAATACGCGAAAAAGTCTCGGGCGCAGTTCAAACCAATCATGGCCGTGAGCAAGCGCATGGTCCACCAGGAGATCCTCCATTATGTAAATCCCTTTGCCAGGATCAACGTGAAATCCGACATTTTTCTTCGCATTCAACCAGCGGATGTGCATTTGTATACCAGTGGTGATGTGTTTATAGCCCAACTTCTGGGTGGCCAAGTCAAGAACTCCAATGTCTCGCTGGATGTGAAGATAACTGACGAGGATAAGGTGGTGAATGTGGTGGTCAAGCAACTGGCGGAGCAGCCCTCGCAGATCGAGTGCAGTCTGCAGATTCCCGTGCGCTCCGATGTCTCCGTGCAGGCCAAGGGCAGTGTCCGGGTGGAGGGAGTCCAGAGTGAGCTGCTGCAGGTCAAGGCAGAGGGAGGCATCCTCACCAAGAATGTTAAGGCCACCAATATTAGCCTGTACAGCGAAAATGGCAACATCAACTGCCAGGGCACGCTGCTGGGCAAGATCACCGAAATAGAGACGCAAAATGGGGTAAACAGGGATTGGCCATAAACATATCATGTTACTAACTGAATTATCCTCTTCCCAGAACATTTCCATGGACAAGTTGCAAGGAGACAGCTTAAATTGCTCCACCAAGGCTGGCAGTATTGTAACCGACTGCTGCTATGTGGAGAAATCCAACTTTCAGACGCAAACTGGACGCCTGGAACTCAAGAATGTCCACAAAAGCAGCCAGGTTCATGTCCACCAGTCCGCGGAGCTCAATATGAGTAAGTAAAGCGAAGTAATCCCAAATAATATATTAACAATTCAAAATTCCCAGCTGGTGTGCATGGCAACCTCCAAGTAACGAGCAAAGGGGGCAGCCTAAATGTCCAACTCTCGGAGCTAGTGGGCCACAATAAAATCGATGCCCACAACCTGGAAGAAGAGGCTATTATTCACATATCCCAAGCCATCGAGCAGGATCTCCACATCGAGGTGACAGCCCCGGAAGTGAAGTTGGAAACCGAACTGGAGCATGTAGCCCATGCTCTCAACGAGGACAAGAACAAATTCCTGCTCAGCAATTCGAATACAAATCGACTGCAGGTCAGCAGCACTGGCGGCAAGGGAGTCCGTCTGGGCAAACAGTCGTGGAGCGATATGATGCGCCAAAAACTTCAGGCCATTGGACCGGAAGTACCATAATTAAAGACATAGAGAATTACTAAGTTACGAATATATTGTGCTGCAAGCTACAGTCTCAGTCATTTTTTTGTCTTTCCTTTCTTGGAGGTATGTTCTTTAGGCTTGGCCGGTCTCCTTGTCCACACCTCCGCTCAGGCATTCGAGGGCCTTTGAGAAGATTGCATCATCCTCTTCGGCTTTCAGCGCAGACACAAAGAGCTGCACCTTTTCGTCACCAATCTCTTGGAGATCCGAGTTCTCCGCTTTTATTACCATGCAGGCTAACAGGCGCAGCAGCTTGAAGGCATTCTCCACATACTGCTCCTTGGGTGCGTCCTCCTCCTCCTCTTCGTCCTCTTCAAAGTCGTTGGTCTCTGGATCGCTTCCGGTGTAATTATCAATATGCTGCTTGAGTCTGTACCACAACTCCAGAAGATTTAAAAATGCTTCCTTGTGATAGAAGTACTTGAGGCGCTGTAATAGGAATATTTAAAATACACTTTGAATGGTTTAGGAAAGTTCGTAAACTCACACTCCATATGTGCGCCAGATCCTCCAGATACTCCTCCTGCCGTTCACCCAATGGAATGAGTTGCAGCGGCTGCTGCAGGAATTGCAGTATCCGCGCCAGACAGCTGACTATGCTGGGTGCATACACGTCCATGGAGGCTTGCGCTTCGGGCAACTGGACCAGAATGGTGCAAATGTTGAGGTAGGTTTGAATGATCTCCACATCACAGGTTATTTTCGGCCCGCACGAGTCGTAGCCAACGTCGGCATCTTCATCACTGTCCTGGGCAGCGGCTGGCACTTCGGCCTCTCCGTTCTCCTCGCCAGCTTCCTCGTCGGCCAGCTTGGCCTGATCATCGCGCATGAGTCGCAGGAAGGCGCTATTGACACCGTCGCAGAGCTCCGGAACAAGAAAGACCTGCGCGAAAGGCTTCAGATTCAATGTTGTCTTTGCGTTCTCCTCCTCCACCAGGGCACAACTGGCCAGCACAGCATTGGTGGCCTTCAGCGCCGCTATTAGCAGTTCATCGCTCACGGACTGCTGCAGAATCCTGCCCAGATTCTGGGCGGAGTTTTCGAAGGCGGCAAAGCAGACGTACCAGTCCACAGCGAACTGCTCCTTGCCGCTGAGCACGTGGGCCATGATGTACTGGAAGAGTCGCATCAGCTGGATCAGCATGGCGGTGTCCATGCAGTTGGTCAACTTGAACAGGGTCTCCATGGTGCTGTGATTGCAGGTGAGCAGCTCGGCGCACTCCACCTGGGCGCACATGTTGCCCAGCAGGCCGATGAGAATCTCGTAGAGGCGCACATCCTCACAGCCGGCCATCAGGGAATACATTATCGGATCGATGGCCTCGTTTTCCAGCAGCAGGGTGACCACCTCGGGGGACACCGACATGTCCCACACCTTGCACAGATCGTCCTCCAGCTGCTGTTCCAGTGGCGATTCCGGCTGCAGCTCCACCAACTTCAACACCGTCTGCAGGATGAACCGACTGCTGAACATAGTGTTGCCCACTGCATCGCCGCGCATCCTCTCCAGCAGTTCCGCCTCCTCGGCGTCGTCCTGGGCGGGCGGGGGCGTGGTCGAAGCGCTGCTGGCGCTGGCAGAGGCTGGGGCAGAGACGTCGCTTTCCTTGTGTGTCGCATTTTCCGCGGGAGGCACATCGCTTTCCTTGGCGACCACTGGAACGCCACCGACCGATGGCTCCGCGTCTTCCTTGGGCATTACGATCTGGATCTGGGTCTGGGCTAAGTAGTTGACTGCTTCTTTTGGCAGGACGCGATTGGCAGTGGGCGATAATCAATATTTTTTGGTCAATACTTTTTTTTATTTTTTTTTAAGACGCGGTCAGTGTGACCGCAGTTTTGAACTTTGGCTTTTTTTTTAGTGTTTTTTGCTGGTCACACTTTTTGTGTTTGGCGGGAAATTAGTTTTCCCGATTTTTCTTCGTTTTTTTAATTTTTCAAGTACGAAATGTGTGCAAATTGGTGGTCGACTCCTAGCAGCAATTACAAATTTGAGTTTTTCGCAAAAAACAAGGTAACTGCCTTGTAAAACTCAATATCGTTTTTAATACTCATCTAGCGGAGACACGAACCAAATACATCCGTTGAAAGCAGAAAGTAAAAATATTGACGCGAAAATGTTATTATTAGCGAAATCTTTGTTTAAACCATACTTTCTTATTAATAAGTGACTTAGATGCAATGCTAACGATGAGAAGTAATCACAGTTTATGAGGTTTTTGGTTTTCCCTTAAGCAGCAAATTGGACAGATTGCTGTAGGGCAGCTCAAAAGCCAGCGAAAAGGCGATGGAGGCAAGATAGACGATTATCGTAAAGCCGCAGCAGACGACGCTCTAAAGTATTTGAAAAAATATACATTAATATTGGAAAAGAGTTTCAAAAAAGAGGGTAACTCACCAGCAAAAAGGGATCGGCTGCAGAACTCGTACTGGTCAGACTGTAGACGAGGGCAATCACTAGGGGATTCAATAGATATATGGCGTAGGACAGGCGATTTAAATGCTGAAAGCACTTGGCCTCCAACAGTCGTGACCACCATACCCCAGTTCCAGACGCACTGCCCACGATCATCCAGCAAACGGTGAGGGAAAAGAGAGCCCGTCCCAGAACAAACAGCGATATGGTGATCAGGGTACCCAGATCCCGCTTCACCGTGGAGTAAATACAACCTACAAACACCTTGAGACTCAAGTGCCAATACCGACGGGTTCGCCGTTCGCTCATCTCGAACTGTAATCGCTGCTCCTGGTAAAACCAGGCGGCTATTGCTCCCACAATATAGGGCAGCACCCTCACGAAGGGACTCGTGTAGATCTGGGTACCAGTCGCGTAGGTGGAATCGAAGGAGAACTCGAAATTGTTGGTGATCCCGATGCCGTAGGACCAGGTTATTGTGGCCACAAGTCCAGAGAGCGTCACTCCTTTGGCCAACTGGGGATACCTAGACAAAGAAATAGAGAAAATTATGTATGTTTTATGTATATTTTAAAGTATCCATTCTTCTTTAATTACTACTCAGATAAAAAGTTAAAAAAAATGATACTCGTATCCTTAAACTATATTTATTGCTTTTTCTTCCGGTATGCTCGACGAAAACGAAAATCAGAATTTATAATAACTAGTTCAATGGTAGAAATATTAATATAGTAATAGTAATATTAAATTAATATCAAACTAATAACCATTGTTTAGTTATAGATGGACTTATATAAAATTTCTTTATGAAGATTTCCTCGGTGATTCATCACCTATAGATATATATTAAATCGAGACTCACTTGGCGTAAATAAAGAGCACTATGTTTGCCAGCAGGAAGAACTGCATGTCGCAGGCGAGACTCCAACTCCAGTTGGCACACATCTCCCGGTGGTCAAAGAGGTTCTGGATGAAGAGCAGGTTCCTCCACCAATACTGGGGACACAGTTCGTCGAATCTCTCGTTGATGTGGAACACCGAAACGTCGCCGATGTAGGCGAAGGCCAAGTCCACGCTGCCCATCACCACCAGGTAGAGTGGACCCAATCTCAGGTAGCGGTGGAACAGCAGTTTCCCAAAGAGCTTCACATTGCCCCATAGACCGTTGAGACGGACTG